GGAATGTTGATTAGGCAGCTAAGTCTCCTTTTTTTCCTGTCGCCTTTTGTCTCCGAGTCCCAAGTGGCTGGGCAGACAGTAGGGGCATTGATGAGTCTGTGTTGGGGTCATCAGTGATGTCACCATCTGCACTGTCATGTGTATATGACACACTGGGTACCAAATACCCACAGAAGGCTACTTAGCTGTTTACGTTTGTTAATTAGCTATAGTGACATGCAGCCGTTATCAACATTGGCTTGTTGATGTTAATTTGATATAGTTTATATAATGATTTTTAGTTAGTTAGCTGTTTTCAATATATCGTTTGCCAACATGTCGTAGGAACGCCTAAACAGGTCCAAGATGGAAAACATTGAACCTACATTTACGATTGTCTTCCTACTGTCTTAAATTGGTTATTGAAAAATCTCCAAAAGTAAAATCTTTTTCAGCTTGTGACGTGTCCTTAAACTGCAGAATGTTTCTTACCTCTTACCTCTGCTTTTATAATAATGATTGAATTTAATGAAAATGTAAAGCATGTGCCAGTTGATCCCAATTAGCAAAAGTAAACGCCGCAGCATTGGCCATAACAAGGCATAAGATTTGCTTTGCTGTGTGCACACAGAAATATTTAAAGAAAAGTAGGGAGAGTTAAGATGAAAATCTACAAACAAAAGTATAAAGAGGCTGGAGCATTCTCAAGCCCAAGCTAATTTGTAAAGCACTTTGGATTGCCTTGTGTTGAAATGTGCTATATAAATTAACTTGCCTTCCTGAAACAAATTCACAAGTTTAGAAGTGGAGGTTCTTCTGCAGGAAGTGAAAGTCAAACTCGCCGCGGATACCATGGTAGCATCAGTGTATAACACTATAAAAGATTCTTAATTTGAAAAAAAGTGTATGCCTTGTAGAACAACCCAAATTATTATTTCAAAAATATAGTATTATAAAGGAGAAAAATATAAATATATAAAACACAATAACCAATTATTTTTGCAAGTACAAATCCCAAATAAGAAGCATTGGTAATTGTCAAAAATATTCACAAATACTGAATTTATTAGTTTAAGTGTAACTTTTGTCCGTAAGAATGGTTGGTGTATGTGGCACATTGTTTATTTCGATTTTTCCATATTGTTTCCTTTTGTTTGTAAAGTTTTGGATGGTTTTGCCATCAGGTCTCAGTTTTTGAGGGGACAAAACCTATATTAATCTGTCCATTTCAAAAACATGTCACCTTCACTTCAGTTTCTTTTTTTGTCCAATCAACATCCAAAATGAAAAGATGTTCTGTGTGCATTAAAAGAAAAACAAACAAAGGCACCAAAGGAGAAGAAGCAGCTAAAACTAGAGAACATGTGTTAGTTTTAACTGAAACAATTAAATAAGACTTGCAGATTAGTTATCTTTCAATAAATTTAACAACACATTTAAAAAGCCCAAATCCCCAAATTTACCCAAGAAATGTTTAATGAACACATGGATAAAATATATATTAGGATTGAATTGATTATCTGTCTTATTGTTGGTAATGGTATTATTCATGTTGCGCTTCAAAAGTGACAGGAAGGGATGAGGAGGATGTTGTGTAACATCCTCACTGCAACGTCAGCTGTGTGTGTGTGTGTGTGTGTGTGTGTGTGTGTGTGTGTGTGTGTGTGTGTGTGTACACACCATGCTGCCCTCAGAGGACCCTGACCCACCTCACACACTTACATCATTCATGTTCATTTCACAGGCAGCGGCCAGTGACTTTCCTGGTGGGAGTTTGTACATTAATAAAAGATGTGACAGACTGCCAGACTTCATGCAATAAAATAGCTTTCCCCGGAAGTCCCCCTAAAGGTAATTTTACTCCAACAATGTCAAGCTCAAAGTTGTTATAATTAGCATGAGAGAGGAACAGTATCCCCTTGTTCCATCCTCTGTGCCTCTACACTACTTTGAAAAACACAACATAAAGGAGATGACAGGAATAGCTGTCATTTCAAATCAACACTGTACTGTATGTCTCAAGGTACATGGCAGTCTTATGTTTGACTGTTAACTTCCACAACCATCGGATATACATTGCCATGTAATTTAGGGTGAATTCTCTCCAAAGAATCCAAGTGCATTTGGTTCAGAAGCCCCATTCTGTCCATAGGACCAAAATCCCGACCCCAAAACCAATGCACCTTGCTAGAAAAAAACACACTTCCTGCAACACACATGACTCATTATTATGCTGAATTACTGAGGTTTGACATGTCCTAATCTGCCTCTGATTGGTTTACCATGTTATCCTAACCCTAAAACCAACCAATCTAACGCCTAAAAAGTGGAGGCGTGTGGCGCAGTGTGTTTGTGTGCTGATCTTCAAATCAGAGGATATCAAGTTTGAGTCCCGCTGCAGTCAGCATGTCGTTGTGTCCCTGAGACACTTCACCCCAAGGTGCTCCTGTGGGGATTGTCCACAGTGCTGAATGTATGTAATTCGCTTTGGATAAAAGTGTCTAACAAGTAACATGTAATGTAAACCTATGCTACAAGTATTGGCCAATCAGAAGCAATGTAGTGGTTTTGGTGTTTGATTTTTGGGAAAAGGATTCTCAGACAAATGGGTCGGATCAAAACATTCAGAAGCAGCTTTTAGTCTCATTGCTCTACACCAGGGGTATCAAATTCAATTTCATCGCGGGCCACACTAGCATTATGGTTGCACTCAAAGCAGAGTCCTGCATCGGGTCGGGTACCCGACGGGTGACCCGCAAAAAAGGTGATTTGCGGGTAGTATTTTTTCAAACGCTTTTTCCGGGTTCGGTTCTGGGTAAAACAAAGATGATGCGGGTCGGGTTGTGGGTGTTGCATAATAAATATATTTAAATAATAATAATTTAGTTTAATGTTTAAATCCTCAGACCTCTCCCCCGCGGGACCGAGCATATTCATAACCTCTGCAGCGCAGAGGTTATGAATATGCTTATATATATGCTTATAATATGCTTATATATATGCGGGTTCGGGTCGGGTTGCGGATCTTGTGCCGGCGGGTCGGGTCTGGTTGCGGAACTAATTGGCAATATGTGCGGGTAGCGGGGCGGGTTCGGTATTGCACGTCGCGGGTGCGGGGCGGAGCGGGTCTTGAAATCAGACCCGTGCAGGACTCTGACTCAAAGGGCCGGTTGTAACTTTAAGACGATATAAATATATAAAATAATGTATTTTATTACATTATTGCCTCTGCATTGGATTATTATTAACTACGTCTGAATGCAGAAGTCTAGGGCAAGTAATTGCAAGTCTCTTAAGTGCGCATGTCACAACATGAGATGCATTGTGGGACATGTAGTTTATTGGCAATGTGCTTCTGTAAAGTGGCATGTAACCGTATAATAAACGTATTATATTATTTGCAAGCTCTTGCGGGGCCGCATAAAATGAAGTCGTGGGCCGAATTTGGCCCCCGGGCCTTGAGTTTGACACCCCTGCTCTACACATATGGAGAAAGCTTGTGGAACACCTCAAATCTGACCCAAACCTGAGTTCTATTTAATGAATCTTAAAAAATGTGATGATTACACTTCTGTGTTTCCAATCATAATGTTTAACTCTCTTCCCTCCCTTTTTTAAATTGTCTTCTTTTACTTTCTGTGTGTTGTAAGTGGTAATGCTTAAGTACAGCACTTTAAATTGCGTTAGTGTCTTAATTGTGCTATATAAATAAACGCACCTTAACCTTCTGTCCAATGGGACATTTTACAGACTATTGGGGATGCAATAAAACGGGCCGAGGAACAATGGTACATCACTGTGTCAGCAACAGTACATATGGTATTTAATTTAATACAAGGTGTGGACAGACATAAACATAACATCAAATACATCATTTATAATTCTTAAGGATTCTAGAAACACAGACACACACACACACACACACACACACACACACACACACACACACACACACACACACACACACACACACACACACACACACACACACAG